TGCATATCCTACATCTAAAAGGTCCACAATTGAACGACGATTATCAATACTTTTCACATTCCCTTTCAGTTTGAAATGGAGTTGCAAAAAGTGAAAAGCACTTCACATTAAATAGTATGCTGAAATTAGGTAATATAAATTTAATAATAATATAATATGATAATGTTTAATTAATTAAATATTTGTACAACATTATAATTTGGTGCAAAGGTAAAATGGTAATCTAACTTTTGTAATGTCTCATTTCTTGTGAATTTGTTTTAATTATAAAATGACCATTTTATCCTTTCTCGTAGCATTTTCATGCTTAGTTTGTGTTTTGAGAATGGTTGGTGTGGTCTTCGATGCAATCGGGTATGTTTTTGGTGATTTAACCCCTCTTGAGTTGAGAATTCTTGTCAGGGTTGACTTCGGTCAATATTTTGAGTTTCGAGCACCGGATGAGAATTTCTTCATTTGCATCACATCCGAAATGTCGAGTTTGAGCTAGTAGAGTGGTTGGTAAGATTTCTGAGGCCTTAGGTTGAGCTTCGGGTGAGAAGTTAAGTTTTAGCCTTAAGAGTTGTCTAGGAGGGTAATTCTGTAATTTGACATCATTTCATAAATTTGAAGATTCTATTGAGTTCAAAATGTCGATTTTAGTGAGGTAGCAAGTCCAGTTTATTTTTATCGGACTTCGAATAATTTTCGAAGGCCGGTCAGAGACTTGAACTTAGCTTTTTTCTGTTTTCTGGTGTCTGGTGCAAGGGGACTACGTTCGCAGGTGATGGGCGACTATTGCATCGTGATCGTGGAGGGTTGGGGTGCGATCACGGATGAACAGTGCTCCACAATCGCAGTACTTTTCCCGTGTTCGTGGAGTTTTGGCAGCCAGTGGGTTGTGTTCGCAGACCCCAATTTACAGACCTGACAGGGTATATTCGGGAATTCATCCCATTTTTCACTCGGTTGAGAGCTTAGGAGAGGAGATTATTTAGGGGTTTCTTGAGGAGATTCATTTGGGCAAGTTCCCTTATCAATTCCTCCAATTTTTATCTTCTGAAAGCTCTTAAAATTTTGATTTCAAAGTGGATTATTGGGGTTTTTCTCCCAAAGTTGAAAAATTAGTAAAACCTTGATTTGGAACCCGTTTCTTGATCATTTTAAGGGGGGGGGGGGGGGGGGGGGGTTTCAACCATGAATTCCTCTTGGCTAGTAGAACTTGATTTTCAACTAAAAGAAATTGATTTTTTTTCCTTTCGATTTTCGAAGTGATTTTTGAATTATTTTACCCCCAGTTTCAAATCCTATCAATATGGGTATCATTGGACTCCTTTTGATGAACTCTTTTCATTTTTGATAGTTGAGGATCATTTCGGTGATAGTGTGGTGCTCTGATTGGGTTGTTCGAGTGAAGTTTCGACATTGAGGTAGGTTTGATTATCCCTCTCGTAGATTGAGATGAGTAATTAACATGTTCTTAGGAAGTCAACTGTGAAATGAGTAGTATCATGAGTCTTAGAAGTTGATAAATGTTGACCTCTTTGTGTAGTTCGTATGATGCCTATTTGTGATGTTTAGCATGTGTGAAGGCTTGTGTGATTCTGTTAATTGTTGTGGGAAGCCTGTGATAATTGAGAAATTTCCCGAGCGAGGGGCTGTGTGGTTTATCCTTATACTTGACATTGAGATGCCCGAGGGGTTTGGGTTGACTTTTGAATTTTTTAAAATGAAAGCAATGTTTTCTAAGTGGTAAAGACCGACTTCAAATGGATTCCTCCACTATCCCTATCATTTAAGAATATGTTTCATAACTTGATGAGTTTGGGAACTTGATGTTGTTTGAAGTCCTTGGTGAACTAATTATACCTATGTGTAGTATGTGTTGTGATGCATTCATCCTCATGTTGCATATCATTGGATATTGGTCATGGAAATATGAGAAAGTGGAGAAATACTATCTTTTTGAGAAAGTAAATGTGACACCTTACTTATATCCTTGACCACGAGCCAGGTGACAAGTTGATGAGATATTGAGATTATGAGATTGGTAAATAGACTGCGAGTCCCCCGTGGTTCCTTTTCTTGAAGCTAGAGCTTAGATGAAATTAACTAAAACCACCTCCCCCTATTATTGTTAATGCAATATTTACGGCTTGTGAAAAAAAATATTACACGGCTTATAAAAAAGGACATAAGTAGTTAATTTTGCTTTATAGTTTTTTAGTTCCATTCTACATAGGAAAAATTAGATTGAATTAATAAATTAAGAAATCAATCAATTTTTCATTATTTTGTATTTATATGTTTCTTTTTCATCATTGAGTTATTTCCCCGAACAATCAAGTTAGATATTCTACATGGGGATTCAAAAAATAAAAGAATCTAGTATTTTCTTTATCTCAATTTATGTGATATTTTTTACTTTTTACTCGGTCTCAAAAAAAATGATATTTTTGTCTATTTAGTAGTAAATATAATGTTATAAAACTTTTTATTTTACCTTTCATAATGGGATAAGAATTTTTAGTGGGATGTTTAATGAGATGATTTATCGCTACAAAAATTTTAATGACTTATTTTAGATTGGAAGTTCTAACAATCTTCTTTTTCTCTTTTGAAATTTGTGACCAATCAACACCTACGCATAAATTAACACAACTAGAGCATATATAACAAAAAACGTGTTCAAAGATTCACTGATGTAAAAGACAAAAAATGGTGACGTTACACAAAGATAGTGCACGAGTATTACATACAATGTTACAATTAAGGGAGGATCCAGTTTCGGGTTCACGAAAATTCATTAGCTTTTGCGTAAGTCCTATATATCTATTAAAATATATAATTATAAATATTTGACTATGAATCCAGATATTATCGTATAATGACTTGGAATCGATGTAGGAACCCATAAACTTTTAATCTTGAATTCAACTCTAGGCCTACAATTTGTATTACTTATTTTTTGGCACGTATATTCCACGTGTGTTCTGTGCAAATAGTACCATACAATATAAATCATATTAAAAAAAATACATTGTAATGAATTTGGGCGGTTGTTGATCCTCCCATTCATTACCTCAATCTATTTCAACCCGTTAAAAAATGAGTTGATATTTAACTCGAATTTGATATGTTAAATATAGTCATAATAAAGAAAAAATATAATTTTACTAGGTGTTAAATAGTTTAAAAGAACAAATAAAATAATTAAACTTAATAAGAAATGGATTGGTTTGAGTCTGGACTGGTAACCCGTTAGCTAACCCATTTTTGAGCCAACTCGTTTGATCCAATCAAATTTAGATTCAATTGGATTTTAACCCTATTATCGTCTTAATTCATTATGATCCGTCCAAATTTGACATAACCCGCCCAATTGTCACATCTGATTATAAAAGTGGGAAAAAGAAAAAACTAAAACTGTTTCATACTGAGCCGCAGTGACTCTGTTGATATCATTTTTTCCAGAAAAGCTGTTCTGCGCAAGAAAAACTGTTTAATTTCTTGCTTAGAAAAAAGGTTCTTAGTAATTTGTTTCTCTTTTCTTTCCGTAGTGTTTTCTATGAAAATTGATGTACTTGTGTTGATTAGGGTTTTTATTATATGATGATAATTTTGTATATGCATTTTGGAAACTCAATAACAAAGCAATTGCTTGGTCTAGGGTTGTGAAGAAACCTCTAATTGGCCTAATTGTATGTTGGTTTGATTCCTTTGGGTACATGAAGAAGTTTTCTTGTTGGAAATCTTGAATGACGGGTAGATATGGAGAATCGTAGTAGCTTAATTGATTGGTTATCTGAATGACGGGTAGATATGGGAAATCTTAGTAGCTTAGTTGATTGGCTATCTGAATGACGGATTAATATGGGAAATCTTAGTAGCTTAATTGATTGGCTATTTGAATGACGGGTAGCTATGAGAAATCTTAGTAGCTTAGTTGATTAGCTATCTGAATGACGGGTTGATATGGGAAATCTTAGTTGCTTAGTTGATTGGCTATGGGTAGATATGGGAAATCTTAGTAGCTTAGTTGATTGGCTATCTTAACTTTTACTTTGTTGGTGAGGGTTCAATTCCCCCACCTTGTAATCCCCATAATTAGGGCAGAGGCGCACCTTGTAATCCCCATTCAATTAGGGCAGAGGCACGGAGGTAGGAGGCACAAGGGGGTTCAATTGAATCCATTAGGGCAAAAGCACGGAGGTAGGAGGCCACAAGGGGGGTTCAATTGAATCCCCTCGTCGTAAAAACTATACTATGTATATAGGGGGGAAAATAATTTTTCGCATGTATATATAACTTGTTGAATCTTCCCAGTGCAATGGCAAAAGGGGTTGACAATATGAACTTGTAACCTTAAGCATTGTTAGCTATTGTCATTTTGTTAAGTAATGTGACAGTTTCTTAATTGCATTGTTAGCTTAAGTGATAGGAGCCAAGACACTGTAAGTAAGAAATGGTGTTCGAACTTAGTTAAAAAGCCTCACGAGTATGAAGCAAAAGATGGAACCTTTGTCACTTAGGCCACGAGACAAGGAAGGAACGCATAGGGACTTTGAAGGAGCTGGAGTTTCTAGTAAAGAAGAACAGGATATAATTCGAAAGGCAAAGCTTTTCAATCAAATGTGTGAAGGTATCTGCTTCTTTTTGTTGTGTATGTGTTTTCAATAATGGTGGTGCCTAGGCTGCGACTCTGCTTTGTACCTCATTGTCTATATGGGGTTAACCACAATTTATAATTTCAGGGGAAAGTGTTGTGACACCATCAAATAAGGCAAATCATATTGATATCGTTGATCATGATCAGGTGAGTAGTTTCTGTAGTTCTGTTGTTGGTTTTCGTATGTATTGTGCGAAACATAGTTAGCCATATGCCTTTTTACTTAGAAACATAGGTAACTGGTTGATCAAGAATGATAGGAATAATGGGCAAAACCACACACATTTTTGCGAGTTTCCTATCTGCACTTCATTTTTGACCATTATCTCAAAACAGAATGATCAATGTGTCTGTCAATTTGTTAGTTATACATTGTATTATGTTGGAAAATTCTCTAGATTGATGACTGTGTGGAAACAAATCTGCTCGACACTTTCCTGGAAACATTGGTTGGTAGAGATGATGCTGCATCAACGACAAAAGCACTTGCACTGCTGGAAGCAAATAGTGGAATAGAAGTTTGCCAAAGATTGTTAAAAAACTGGAAACAGTGAGTTTAGATTCTGTTTTTACCCAATTTTCATAGTTAATTTGTCTGATTTTCGCTGAAGTAGTTCCTTTTAACATGATAGATTGAGGCCATTGACACAAAAGTTTATTGCTCTAGTTGCTGAGGTCAAGCAAACTAATGAACATTTTTTCATTGAACAAACTCAATAAAGCTGAAAAGGATGCAAGTATAGATTTATAGAGACAAGCCTTTCGTCTCCTTGTCATGCTAGAAATAAAGTTTTCAAAAGAATGGTGTTTTCTTACTTTAGATGAAGGTATTGGATGAAGAAAACGAGGCTTTGGAGGAATCAAGTGACACATCGATAAGGCTCTACAAGAAAACGAAGCACACACATGTTTCTTGTGGAAAAGCTTCATCTACCAAGGTATGTTTAAATGATTTTTCAAGGCATTAGTAGTTATAACGTGAAAGTCGAGGGTCTTTTGGAAATAGTCTCTCATCTCCACAAGGTCTAAAACACTTGTTTTGTCCTTTTTAGGCCATGAGGATTGACTTTCAAGACGAAATACTTATGGACATTCTCAGTAGGTAGGTTACCCCTGTTGCCTCTTCTCCGATTCAAATGTGTTTCAAAAAATTGGAAGACATTAATCTCCGATTCTTACTTTAACATGAAGCATCAAAGACATCACAAGAATGACTTAAATTCCCAAAAACTTCTTGTTGCAGTAGATAAGGTTACCTTCTTTTCTTCTTCTTCCTAATCGACTGTTCAACTTGTTGAGGATATACAAAACCTCGATTGCCCTACAAACAGGATACCAGATCACTATTGCCACATTTACGGGTCTTGTAATGGGTTGGTTCTTGTTGGCATTTTTGATCGATATGATAAACAACTTCTGTTGTGGAACCCTTCCATGAGAGAATCAACAGTACTTCCTCGTCCAGAATTTGTAACAAGGTACTCTACTTTTGGATTAGGATATGATGCAACTAGTGACGACTATAAGGTCCTTAAGCTAGACCAAGGTTATTCAGGTGATATCCATCTCCAACCATCCTATGAAATTCTCGCGTTAAAAAGTGGTTCCTGGAGAAAAATCCGTAACTATCCAAGTAGAATTTGTCCTAACACAGGATATACGTTGGAGATTGAGCCTAAATTTGATGAGGATCACAATATGGAACCTTTGGCATTTCTAAATGGAGCATTTCAGTGGGTTGGTTTTTTGGGAAATCATTGTATTGTTTCGTTTAGTTCTTCTTCAGATAATATGGTGTTTGGAGAAATATCGTTGCCAGAGCCACCAACGTTCAGAATCTACAGGTTAGGGATGAATTCTGATTATGGCGTTTCAGTATTGGGAGGAATGCTTTGCTTTTATTGTACTCATTATCAATGGCAGATGGACGACACTTTTAAGTTGTGGATAATGAAAGACTACGGTGTAAAGGAATCTTGGACCGAGATTTTTACTCTAAAAGAGACTCGTTTTCATTCAATCGTACCAAAATATAGGTTTGCGGATGGTGAATTTCTACTCTGCTGCAAATTGGATGGTCATTCTGTATTTAGGACATCCAAAGGACCATTTGGATTATGGCCTCATATTGGTATTCATCAAGACGGTGTCGTTTATACAGAAAGCTTGATTTCTCCAAAATCACTTCTTCAACGTGTGATTAATCATGTATGATCAAGAAAATCAAATATGTCATCGATCAATATCTTTTTTTTATCGTCATTTTTTTTTAAAAAAAGTTTTGGTTATATACCTAGTAAATACTAGACTTCATGAAGTTGTAATAGGGTCACTACTTGGTACCTCAGACACTTTTTTATACATGTTTGAAAATTTGTGTTGCCCTGTCCTGTCCTGCTCGATTTAGTCTCTTTCATTATTTTCTCTTTAATGTCATTTTATTTTATATGATTTTGACTTTTTAATTAGGAAATGTGGACAATTTACAATACAACAACTTTATAATCACAACATACCTATTAATTTATGAAGAACAATAATGACAAGTTAAAATTAGAATGGATTAGGTTTTAAGCAAAAGAGGGGCACATATCCTTAAAATACAAATGTCTCATTTAAATTTTTCAAAAATAAAATGTTATTGTTCCATAACTGAAATGCATTAATCTAACTTAGTAACTTATTGCGTAAAGCAAGATAAAATTATATGAATTAAGAAAAATGAGATCTCGTATTAAAAAAAACGACGATATATTAAGACATGTAATATTAGTGCTTAAAATTTAGAGGGTCACACATCTTAAAATACAAATGTCTCATTTAAATTTTTTAAAAATAATATGTTTTATTATTCCATATTTTAAATATACATCAATCAAACTCAGTAACTTATTGTGTAAAGTAAGATAAAATAGCATGAATTAAGAATCATGAGATCTCGTATTCAAATTTCAAAGGAGATAAAAAGCAACGTTTTGTTCAAACTAGTGACACATGTATATTTTATATTGTATTTTTAATTTTATTTTAAGCATTTTCAACTAAACATCAGATACCCATCTTTGTCAAATTTAGTTGTGTATATACAAAAAGAAAAAAGTCATATATGCTTTAAAAACTTGTGGGGACATGTTTAGGTAAAGAGCTTTTGACAAATGTCATTTTTTCTTATGACATATTTAACAGGGGACGAGAATCTAATATATATATATTAGATAATGTTGCTCGTGCTATGCACGGGCCCAATAATATAAATGGTATGTTTTGGAGCTAATAACGAAATTTTTAAAGTGATTGTTTGCGTGGATAAAGGAATAAGTTTTTTTATCACAAACTTGTACTTTCTTTGACGTTATTTAAGGCATAATAAGACTACCCACATATAATATTTTTGAAAACATATTTTATGTTGTCAATTATCATGATTTATAGTATTTTTACGATAGATTCACTTCAAGAATCAGTGGAATTTTTTGTATTTTTTTTGAAAACATATTTTATGTTGTCAATTATCATGATTTATAGTATTTTTACTCAATTTTTAAATATAAAAAGTATTTAAAAAAATAAAACAAATAAATTCAAATGGACCCAATATATGTTATTTTTGTTGTCTCAATTTATGTGACACAAATAAAATTTGGAGAGTCATCCAAATTTTCACATTTTAAAAAAATATGTTTTAAGTTATTAATTATTGTGATTTATAATATTTTTATGTAACTTTCAAATAACCTACATTACTGGTCACTTTGTCCTAATTTATGTGATATGGATAAAATTACAAAATTAACCCTTTTAAAATGTCTTTCAGATATTTTAAGTAGTTAATTATTATTATTTATAATACTTTTTTGATAATTTTAAAATGATATGTGTTATTTTTTCTGTCACAATATATGTGAGCCTGATAGAATTCTGAGAGTGAACCTATTTTATTATATAGCTTTTAAATATTTTAAATTGGTAATTATTGTAATTTTTAATGCTTTTTAAGTCATTTGTAAATGATATATGTTGCTTCCTTTGTCCCATTTTATATAGTATAAATAAAATTCCCGAAACCAACTCAATTTTTAATATATTTTTAAAAATATTTTAAATTATTAATTATTGCAATTTATAATATTAAAAAAAAATAGAAAATGTACAAAACTTGTATCAGCCTAAAAAATGACCACGATAATTCGAAGCCTACAGAAAGCAATAAGGTTGTAGGTAATTTTTAAATACTTAATATATATTACTCCACTTGTCTCAATGTATGTAGCATAAATAAAATTTCAAGAGTCAATCAAATGTTGTTAATTGTTAAGATTTACAATACATTTTACATAGTTTTCAATAATTTCACATTAAATAATACATATTACTACTTTTGTCTCATTTTATGTGACATTGATAGATTACTTTTAAGAATCAGTCAATTTCTTTTTTTTGTGTTTTTTTAATAAATATTTTAAGTTGTCAATTATCACGATTTATTGTATTTTATACATAATTTTTAACGATAGATTAATTTCAAGAATCAATCGAATTTTTTTATATGTATTTATTTTTGGAATATTTTATGTTGTCAATTATCATGATTTATAGTATTTTTACGATAGATTCACTTCAAGAATCAGTGGAATTTTTGTATATTTTTCAAAACATATTTTATGTTGTCAATTATCATGATTTATAGTATTTTTACGCAATTTTTAAATATAAAAACCAGTAAAAAAAATAAGACAAATAAATTAAAATGGACCCAATATATGTTATTTTTGTTGTGTCAATTTATGTGACAAAAATAAAATTTGGAGAGTCATCCAATTTATTTTTTTTTTAAAAATGTTTTAAGTTATTAATTATTGTGATTTATAATATATATATATATATATATATATATATATATGTCACAAATGGAAAAATCCCAATCTTAAATATTATATATTATACTTGGGCCTAAACTCCCTTTTATTATATAGTAGAATATATATTAGGTGTAGTATTACTTTTGAAGCTTCTTATTCTTTTGAGTTTGGTTATTATTTATAATTTTTTGACATTTCAATCATCGTATTATCTTCTTATAATGGTTTGTAAGGTTGTCTATCTTTCTTCATATTTTTCGTTATTTCTTTTTCTATATTGCATTGGATTTTTTATTTCCTTGAGCTAAGGGTCATCAAAAACTTTTTTTGTGAACACTTTACCCAAAATCGACTCCACTTTATAAATTAAACTAAGTATGCCATTATTATCGTAATTAAAATTCATCTCTCAAAGTAGTAGGATAACATTTTGAGACCTTTTTTTAAAAAAAAGTATGCAAAAGAAAAGTAAAAATAAACCCTAGACTAGTTTAACCAATGATTGATAATTAATTTGTTGAGATAAACATAAGTTTATCTAGACACCACTAAAAATAAAATGACAACTAACTAATTAAAATTCATTTCTAGAAGTTGTAAAATATTTATTTGAGACATTTAAAAATAATTATTTTTAGGTAAAAAAAAGCTTTTTTTTTCTTTTTAAAATTAGAGATTAGAAATTAGAAAAGGCTATAGAAAGAGCCAAAGACAAGAAAGGGGAATTGCAGGAGAGAAAACTTTTCTCTTTCTCTCTGCAAAAAAAAAAGCTTTAATTCTCTCCTGTCAATGGCGGATTTTGTTTCACATATTCATAAAACCTTCCTATCATTTTCCCTTTATTTCTTCTTCTCTAATTTTAGCCTTTTTTCTCTTTTTTTTAACCCCTTTTTTGGCCTATAATTTTAAGGAAAAAATCAACAATTTTCAGGTGAGGTTCTTTTTTTACTTTCTGCTGGATTTTATTGTTATTTGAGGTTCATAATTGTGTGGGGTTGCTTTATATTTACCCTTTAAATTTTGTTTATTTTAAAAGAAAAATTCCAAAATTGTTGGAGATCTTTTGTCTGAATCTGTGCTTATTGTTTTCTTGAAATTATTGAATAATTTGATTGTATAGCTTGGATTTGATTGTTATATTGTTTAAAGATTCAATCTTTTTTGTTTTTGTCTGATTTTTCAGGTGGATTTGCTGCATTTCATTGTTCTTGAAGCTTTCATTGCTTTTGTATTTCCTTAATTTATCACTCTTTTTTTAAAAAAAAATTAATCTTTTTCTGTAATGAAAAGTGATAAATTTTCACAGAATCTGAAAAATTTCCTGGATTCTTGGAGATCTTCTATTCTTGAGAATTTTGATATAACAGCTAGGATTTTGTAGTTTTATGAATAGTAGTATCATATATGAACTATAGACATTTCAAGAATTATTTATAAAAAAAAACGGAAAAAAGTACTTAGTTGTTTAAAGAATCAATTTTTTTTTTCAGGAGTTGATCTTATAAAGTATCATGGGTAATTGCTGTGTGAAACCGGGTAAATCTGCCGAAAAAAAGAACAAAAAGAACAACAGCAAACCCAACCCTTTTTCAATTGATTATGGGGGTACTAAACATGCCTCTGGGAGTGGAAACAAGCTAGTTGTATTAAAAGAACCAACAGGGCAAAATATACATGATAAGTATGATTTGGGTCGTGAGCTCGGAAGAGGAGAATTTGGGGTTACTTATCTATGTACTGACTTGGAAGGAGGAGAGAAATATGCCTGCAAATCGATATCTAAGAAGAAGCTAAGGACTGCAGTGGATATTGATGATGTTAGGAGAGAGGTTGAGATCATGAAACATTTGCCTGTGCATCCGAATATTGTGACCTTGAAGGATACTTATGAGGATGATAATGCAGTGCACATTGTGATGGAATTGTGTGAGGGTGGGGAGTTGTTTGATCGAATCGTTGCTAGAGGCCACTATACAGAGAGGGCAGCTGCTGGAATTTTGAAGACTGTCGTGGAAGTCGTTCAGGTATAGTTTTTATTAGCTTCTTAGTTCACAATTACCTGCTGTTTTTATTACCTTTTGCTTAGGTTATCTTATTATATCCATTATTTTCAGCATAGCTTCTTCATTACTATATTTCCTTTTCATATTGTTTTTATATATGTCTTTCTTAGGCTGAGGGTCCATTGGAACTAGCCTCTCTACCTTCACAAGGTAGGGGTAAGGCTGCGTACACACTACCCTCCCCACACCCCACTTGTGGGACTATACTGAGTATGTTGTTGTTGTAGTTCACAATTGATGCCATTTGGTTTTTATGTAGTAACTTGTGGTGCTTCTTTTTACTGAGTTCTTCAAAGCTTTTGTATGGGTTTTATATCATGATGGAGGAATCCTGTCTTGTTGCTTTGGGTTTTTGTTAAAGAAGTCTGGCAATTTCAAATTAGAAAGAAAATCATATCTTAATAAGAGAAACCTAATTGTGAGCAGATAGCAATTTCAGGGTGAAATGTGAATATCTTGGTGAAGTTGCATATGAACTGGCTAACCATTATTCAATTCATTTCTAGTGTTGATCTTTGCCAATCGATAGTTTTATTCTAGTGTACGTTCATGCTGTAGCATTCACCTTGATATCCTCTCAGAATTTCCTTTAGCGCCAAATTATAATGGGAAGAGGTTATCTTTTTTTGATAATGGTGAAGTATGAGAAGAGGTTTTCTTATGTTCTCAGTCTTTGCTAGTTCTATTTCTTTACTCATTTTACTTGTCTCTTTTAGTTTCTTGTGAACTGTAGTATTGCTCTGTATCTTCTCACTCAAATACCTTCCAATTACATAAAAACAGAAAGCTTCTGAAAGTTTATAAATGAAGTTAATTGGCGATACAGGATACCCCCCTCCAAAATCTAATAATCTTTTAACTCATCATAGTCTTGGGCAGATAGCTAGTTAGAACAGTAACAAATATATAGGAAAGTAGATCATTCGAAATAGTTATCCTTGTGAAATATTGGTCTTTATCTTCATTATTGACCATTGGTTTTCAAATAACTAATACTCTTAAGTGGAAGAGTCACTGGTTGTTTCCGTGGAGTATTAGCTATAGTGGTCTACCACAGAATTTGATTGTTGCACTCAAAACTTAATAAAGTTCTACCGTTTAGGGAAATGATAATGGAATTTAAATTTAGTTTGTATACTGAAGTAAATGTGGTCGACTCTCCCAAAAGACAAGTGCTTTCTACTTCAAATGTTGATCTTTATCCTCATTGCAAACCATTGATGTCCAAACTCTTTTAGATGGAAGAGCAATTTGTTGTTCATATGAGTGGAATTGTCACCAACAACAGCTAATTAACTACGAACAACTTAGAGAGATGAGAACCGATGTTAAATTTAAGTTGTCTACTGAAGTAGTTACTGATCGTTCATGATAAAGGTCATTAAAGTTGGATTCTCTTTTTAGTTTGTGTCCTTTTCTGCAACGATTATTAATTGGACTGAATGACATTATGAAATACTTGTGAGTTGGTAGGAATCTTGTTTCATAATTAAGTCATGAACGTGTTCACAAACGATCAGTCAAAGAGTGATTATTGTATTATGTGGTGTTGAAAACTTTTGAACGTTTCTTCATGTGGTTTGTGTTTAACTGTTATCTGAATGGCGTGGTATTAAAGCTATTGGATTAATAGACAACATTATACATATTTATGGTCATGTTTCACTTTCTGGTTTTATTATGTCAAAGGTCAGTTCATAAATTTCCAATGGTTTTGCAGATGTGTCACAGACATGGGGTAATGCATCGTGATCTCAAACCTGAGAATTTTCTTTTTGGTAACAAGAAAGAAACAGCTCCGCTGAAGGCTATTGACTTTGGGTTGTCTGTTTTCTTTAAACCTGGTAATGGAATTTGAAACAGAACAGTGAGTTTAAGCCTTTTATCATCCTTAACAAAGGTTTAACATTTTGATTTCTTTAACAGGGGAACGCTTTAATGAGATAGTGGGAAGTCCTTATTACATGGCTCCTGAGGTCCTAAAGCGCAACTATGGACCAGAGGTCGATGTCTGGAGTGCTGGAGTTATACTTTATATTCTTCTTTGTGGTGTTCCACCTTTCTGGGCAGGTCTGCTTATTTTATTGCTTCATTTTTTTTATAACCATGGAACGAACCTCGATGCAGAGATTTTCATGTGCAATCTTTAGAACTTGATAATTGATTAACTAAGGTTGTGAAATATGAAGTAGAACTTGATTCATGTTAGAATATGTCGTTGAAATATTAGATGACGAGGCAAGTGAGGTGCAAGACTGTCTCTGCTTTAATCAATGTAGATCATGTTCAATTATTTTGGTTTCTCTTAATGGTTCTTATGGGTTGGACTTTGCTAAATAACGTGCATAAATATGTTAACATATTCTTGATACCTCCCTTAAGTTCCTCTGAATATTTGCAGAGACTGAACAAGGAGTAGCCCAAGCGATTATTCGTTCGGTGATTGATTTCAAGAGGGATCCATGGCCTAAAGTTTCTGATAATGCAAAGGATCTTGTAAAGAAAATGCTTGATCCAGATCCAACTCGACGACTCACAGCTCATCAAGTTCTTGGTAATGTTTGTGGAATATTGAGATATTGTACATTCATTCGTTGTTTTACTCTCTCTCTCTCTCTCTGATAAGTATCCTTTTCGGGGGCTTCGACTCTTGTGGTGCAGAGCATCCCTGGTTACAGAATATAAAGAAAGCACCAAACGTCTCATTGGGTGAGACTGTTAAAGCAAGACTAAAGCAGTTTTCAGTAATGAACAAGCTCAAGAAAAAAGCTCTGACGGTAAGCACACACTTATAGTCTGCAATCATATTTGTAAGCTCAGGATTCTTCACTGTTCAATAAAGATGAATTCATATGCTTTTCCCCAAAGCCCGAAATGAAGGAGAAAAGATTGTCTCTGACTATTTACTGCACTACCTTGTGCTCTTTAATTAAAACTTAATTCTCATCGTAAAAAAGGAGAGAAGATTCTCAAATTTTGATCAAGTTTCATTTTTTTTTTATCTTGATATATGTACTTTCTTGTCTTCCAAACAGGTTATAGCTGAGTTTTTGTCTGCGGAGGAAGTCGCTGGAATGAAGGAAGCATTTGAAATGATGGATACTGGAAAGAAGGGCAAGATAAACCTCGAAGAACTTAAAGATGGCTTGCAGAAGCTTGGCCATCAAATCCCTGATGCTGATCTTCAGATTCTCATGGAAGCGGTAAGCATTCTCATTCCCTGCTTCTTGGCTCGATCTGATTTCTTATAGCTCTACCGGCGGTAACATAATATTTGAAAGTTAGCTACTAAACTTTTCTGCCTCAAAGAGAAAGCAGGTGCCTGAGATGATATGGCCATGTACATAGAACTCTAAATTACATCGATGGACATTATTTTAAAATGACAGTAAACCGCTCGGAATCCATGTGAACTTAATAAAGAAAATACTCAATGGAAGGAAGTAAAGGATACCAAGTAGTTGGATTAAGGCCACATTGTTGGTGGTACACTTATTTTAGTGTCTCAATGTTTGCTAAGAGTCTTTTCAGTTTGGTTAGAGATTTGTACGTTGATGCAGGGATAACTGTGAGATAAAGAAAATTTTAAGAAACTCACGGAGATGAAATAGATCTATAATACTTATATAGCTTAGGGCCAAGCCCAACTAGTTTGGGATCAAATCGTAGTTGTTGATGATGAGAAGTTAGCATTAGACTTTTGTCTTTCACCCTTTTGTCAAAAAATTGATTGATTACAAAATATATTTTGTCAATATAAGTTGTAACATTTTCCTACCATTTCAGTGTAGAAAAACGGAAAACCTGTAGCCAAATGAGCTTGACATTTAGCTTGTCTTGGCATCCCTAGTTCGATGCTTATTATGTTCCAGAAAGGAAAAAAAAACATTTCTCTTGATCCTTTTGGGTTTTTGACCTGAAGGGTGCTTATCTTTTTTATTATTTCTTTTCCTTAATCTATTGTTTTATTATGTTTTTATTTTTCTGTATCGGTTTTACAGGCTGACGTTGATGGAGATGGAAGTTTAAATTATCCAGAGTTTGTTGCTGTATCTATTCATCTTAGAAAGATGGCCAATGATGAACACCTGCACAAAGCATTTTCATTTTTTGACAAAAATCAGAGTGATTACATAGAAATCGAAGAGCTTCGTAGTGCCTTGAGTGATGAGGACGACAGCAACAGTGAGGAAGTCACCAATGCCATTATGCATGATGTTGATACAGACAAGGTCAGTATGTCCATTTATGTGCACGTACACCATTTAGTAACTTTTCGTTCTTTGGTTAATAGTGCAAATATTATGCATTGATGCTAATGTTTTACATCTTACTGAGTCCTCATCTTGAAGCTTCCTTCTGAACCCTTGTTTGAGTTTAGAGCTCAAATACTCCACCTAGTCGTGCCTTATCGTATCTCTAAAGTCCGTCATATTATATACACGTATTATACTTTGATGTCATGCACACTTTCTAGCACATATGTGTTGCTAACTAAACTCTAGTGCTGTGACAAATGAAGACCTTCATATATACATGTATACTTCGATGGTATCTGTTCTTCCCATCACATATGTATTATCGGTCATTACTCTCTAGTGCCAAGACATTATGCTCTCCCTGCTCGCGTCATGATTTACACGGTTGGTTAACCTGCTGCTCGTTACATGTCTGCTACAGACTTAAAGTTTTGTTAGCTGTTTTCCATCTCATCTCTAACAACATTCCTACTCATTTGTATTAGCTTCTTTTCGAGAGTTTGTGAGCTCAGCCTTGTCTCGTCTTTTGTCAAACGTGTGCAGGATGGTCGGATTAGTTATGAGGAATTTGCTACGATGATGAAGGCTGGTACGGATTGGAGAAAAGCATCGAGACAATATTCACGTGAACGTTTTAACAGTCTCAGCTTAAAATTGATGAGGGATGGTTCATTACAAGTTGAAAACAAAGTCTAGATCATCAAAATCCAGAAGAAAGAAATGTTAAAAGAGGAAAAAATATAGTTTTTTCTTTAATTTATATATATCTTTTTTTTTTTTCCTTTTTATCATTGAGCATGAAAGTCTTTTTTTTTCCACTCTAAACTCCATATATCCTTGGAATGTATGTGTAATCTAACAAACTAGGTTTATTTTACTTGTAAATATATGGAATCAGAGATCATAAAAAGAAATTACACTTTCTTCTTTGACACTATTAGTTGTTGTTAGTAGGGGCGGGCGAGCGTTCAGGCCGTTCAGATTGGATATGAAAATTTTTGTTGGAATTATCGTTTGAAGAAATTACAATCCAAATTCAATCTAAATAAGTTCGAATTGGATTGCATTTTTGAATTTTGGTTTCGACTTTTGAGTCTTTAAAGCAGGTCATAATAATTAAAACTTGAATTCATCTAATAGTTTGCTTCTTAGAATAAATAACTTTGTATTGTTAATAAGGATTGAGGCGACTTTGTTGCTCTTAATACTATAACGAGTAGCTTATCCTTTCCACTTCATTAAAAATAATTGCAATTTTATGAATTATTGAATTGAAGACTTATTTGAGGAATTTTCAATTTGATTTCGATATTCCTATTGAGTCCGCAACTAATAACAAGAGTTTCTCTATATGTAAGGCACAAATTTGAAATCTCTAATTAAAGGTCAAAACAAAATATAATTATTTGACAACTTTAATTATCTTTAAAAGATTAAGTCAACTTCTCATTGATTCTACTTCTTCTATATTTCATTATTGAGCTATTTGTCTATAATTGATTCTATGAATTCTTAGTCATTGTTTTTGGTTTTATTGGTAACTACCGACTCCAACAACTTGGTTGACAGATGGAAAGAGTTGTTTCCTTCCAACTCAAATATACTTTTATTGTTTCACTATTATTGGCTCTCCTTAATGTTAATTTACAAAAAGAGTATCATATGTGACGCTCATGACGGAGGGCAGGTTAAAAAAAAGATCGACAGACTTCTAAATTGACAAATTTCTGAAGAAAAGGTACATATGAGCTATGAAGCTTATAGCAGAAATTGAAGAGAAATGTAAAGTGTTTGTAATATTAAGTAAGTCCACATGGCATGTACGCTTTTGAACTTGATGATGACAGAGTCTAAGGGATGAATTCGTAAAGTATGTTAGACCAAAGCGAACCATAGATGTTAATAGGGCTTGAATTGTGGCAATATTTTGTAGAGCGATTGAATTATTTATCTAAGTTTATTTTGTATATATTGACAGTATACATTGATTAACACGAAGATACAATACATAGATAGAGATGTCTTTGCTCTTCCATGTACATTTCTTCGGCTATATATAATGATCTACATTGTTCGAATTCTTTTAAAATGTTGTTGTACATGTGTCGGATTCTTCAAAAATATACTATTTTGCACAATTCGATACAAACCTATCGATATTTCTGAAGAGTTTGAATAACATTGATAATGATAATCAACAAAACGCAAAAGTACTTGGAGATTCTTTCATCAAGAAAAAATATCAATCCATTGGACAATTACATATATCCACAATAAAAAACTTGGGTTGATTTCTTATATCGTCACTCAACTAGAAATATTTATTATCTCAGAACGTCATGTGATCATCTGAGAAATCAAACTCGGAAAATCTCCATTCTACATTCCTCTCCCTGACCAAAATTATGCATTCAATTTCTCTTCTTTCCAACATCTATTTACCTTCTGAATAAATTCTTCAACTTTTCTTGTTAGCTCATCATCTTCTTCTTCTTCCTCATCATCCCTCCTCTCATCGTCGTCGTCAATATCCCTTGCAACCAATTTTATACTTGTGGTTGATTCAATTGTATGTGTTAAACCATTGTTCTTGTCCAAAATAGAACAATTACTTTTCACAAAAGTACTCTTGGAAAGTGGAACAATTTTGTTGTCACTAATTTTTGAGCTACTATTATTATTAACTAGTAGGATGACAATGATCAAATTACAAAAAATGAAAGCAACAAAAGAATTAATGGAATTTGCTTGATTGAATAACTCAAATGTTGAACTCAACATGGTTGTAGAAACACAAAAATATATAGGACAACTAATAAATCATAATTGTGATGGATTAGGATTTTAAGCCCCTTTTTAAAGACAAATTTATCTTTGACTTTTAAAATAGTCATGTGCCAACTAAGCATTTTTTTAACACATTTTGAGAATTTTGATGGTGAGGTGTGGTGTGAAAGCTAAGTTTATGACTTTTTTATATATTTTAATATTGTCAAAAGTTAATATTTTTAATTTTCGTTAAATATTTATCGAACTCTGTTTGTGAAACTTTACGGACAAGTGATGATTAGGGCAGTAGCGGAGCCAGAATTTTTAATAAGGGAGTTTAAAATCTGAGAAGTAAACACACGAACTAGTGAAAGGGGGTTCGACATCTATTATACATATCTAAAAAATAATTTTAACCATATATAAATCGTAATATTTTTCGCCGAAGAAGATTCGAATGAACCCTCTAAGTATATACTGCCTCCGCCCCTGATCTAGGGGATGTTAGGAGGTTCATCTGAACCTCCTCGACAACAAATTCTAATGTGTATATAAGATTTTATTTATTTATTTATATATATATATATATATATATATATATATATATATATATATATATATATATAAATTTAAGTTATGTTTTATAAAACTCTTTACTCGTCCTTTGTCTTCAAAAATTTATCCCATTGATTATCTTACCTAACTTATTTAATAAAGAAAACAATTTAAAATGAGCATTGACATGTATTCACGTTGTATTCGTATAAATCATGATTAATGTTAGTTCTACCTTCCATAAAAGTTTCAATTCTTTAATGATAAATTGATAATTAATTATACCCATATTGCTATAATTATTTCTTGAATTCTCTAACAATTATTGCTTCTTTTGTTTTTTATTTATCAACTTCTGGATTTTCCATTATAATGCCAACTACAATTTAGGACTTAAGATTCAATAAGAAACAACAAAGAAAAGAAGTACTCCATTGTCTCAATTTATATAACAGATTTCGAGAATCATGAGTTTAAATATATGAAATTTTTCAGTTTTTTAATTTTTTATATATATTTAGAATCTACGTAAAAAACACTCAAAGTCATAATAATTGACAATTCAAAATATTTAACTAATATTAAAAATCATAATTAAGCAAATACTCATCTATTTTTTGAAATCTGAATACTATCATATCATTTAGTTTTCGAAATCTGAATACTACCATATAAATTGGGACGAAGGGAATGATAAAAGGGTTGCTTACAAAATTGTCAATCAGAGTTATATATAACAACTATTTTTTTCCTTCTAAACTATAGTACAAAGTTTCTTGTTTCATATACTATAGTTAAGGTCAACAACTTAACTATCAGAGTTATATATAACAACTATTTTTTTCCTTCTAAACACAGTACAAAGTTTCTTGTTTCATATACTATAGTTAAGGTCAACAACTTAACAATCAGAGTTATATATAACAACTATTTTTTTCCTTCTAAACTATAGTACAAAGTTTCTTGTTTCATATACTATAGTTAAGGTCAACAACTTAACAATCATATAATTCATTGACTTTGATAAAATATTCCTAATTTTTCTGCCCTTCAACCCCTATTGATCTTCTCAATAAAATCTTCAATCCTTTTCCTCAATTCATCCTCTTTTTTCTCATTATTTTCTTCAAAATTTTCCTTTCTTGTTTTTGCTAAATATATTTTTGTGTCATTTGTACCATTAGCACTCACTCCTTCTACATTTTCACACTTGAAATTCGTGTCTTGATGAAGAGATTGTGTTGATGAAAATCGAGTAGCATCGTCATATGCTTCACTTTTGTTGTCTTGATTTATCTCATTGAGTACTTTTATGGTCGATATCTCACTCGGTACATAAATTGTATGCATTTCTTTTGATGTGACACGTGCATCCGTTTTTCTATCAACTTCTATATTTTCACTCTTGAAACTCGTCTCTCGATGATGAGACGGGTTAAAAATAGTCTCGTGATTGACAACAAGCATCAATGTCGTACACTCCATTTTTTTGTCTTGATTTATATCTCGAAGTATTTCTATGATTGATGTATCACTCGATATCGAAAATGTTTGCATTTCTTGTAATGTGACACGTGTCCATTTTTCTAACTTGATAATCAAGATGACTCATACCTTTGTGAAAGTGTTTAGCCTTGGGATTGCCTTGTGTTTCTTCTCTTGGACATGTCATGATCAAGAATACTGTTGGTGTTATCTTGTGAACTAGATTGGAAGCCACTAAGTAGGATAATGGCTATGATTAAATTGCACAAACAAAATATAATGTGAGAATTAGAAGAAGCAATAAAGATCATCTCAAATGTGGAACTCAACATAGTTGAAAATGATATATGAAATTCTAGTCTTGAAAATAGAGAACTTTTCAGCAAGGGGTGTTTTACCCCTCAACTGGCAACTCTAATGCGAATTTGGCTTAGTCAACCTAGTAAATCTCGAATACCAGAAAATTAAACAAAAAAAGAATCTTGAAAACAAGTAAGTTGCAAGAAGATATTGATAGGATTGAGAAGATATTTATTTAGGTGTTAATTTTAAGTAGCATGTAATGAAGTGAGGCTATTTAAAGGTTTGTTTTGATTCTCAAAATGTGCCAAAGAAGCTTTTGGACCAATATTTAGAAGGAAAGCTAATGATATTTTAGTGTTATTTATGTAAAGCTTCCCTAGGAAGTATTAAATGTGGGACATTTTTGAATAATTTATGTGTGTCTACACTATCTTCAAAATAAAGAGGAGCACAAACAGGAGATTGTCCATGTGGGGCATTCTTAAATTATTAGGGTGTGTTTGATAGGATGGAAAATATTTTTAGAAAAGTAAGTAGATTTATTTATTTATTGGGATTAAAAAAATATTATTCTAAAATATTTGTATAATTTAGATAAACACTATAAGATTGGAGGTAGGGGCGAAGCTAGTGTAGAGTGTGCGGGTTTTTGTAATTTCAATTGTTTTATTTATTATTTTAAAGTCTGGTGTAACTTTTGAGGTGTATATTTTGTTATTTTAAATATTTTTTAGTGTCTAGTGCAATTTTTTGTATTGTATATTTTAGATTTCGGTTGGACTTTATAGGTGTTTATGATGATAAAGTTCTGTTAAATCTAATCGATAAAGTTCAATAAATATTTGATGGAGACTAAAATGATTAATTTTGATAAAATTAAAGAACAAAAAATGCTCAATGCATATTTAAGATACTTTTTTAATCTATCATATCCTCAAACATAAGAGACTATTTTGATTATTTTCTCTGCATATAAACAACTACTATAAAAAATTTCTTTTCCGATAAAAGTAATGAGGCTCTTAATTATGATTTTAAGTTAGGGACATGTGATCTATCACGATTCAAATTTATAATATGTATGATTCGTTTTGAGTTTAGCATGAATTTGTCTTTTAAACTACACTAAATAGAGTTTAAATAGCTCGAATATCATATTACTATGTCATGAATTTGAGATATATCTTATAAAAATCTTCACTTAATTTTCGTCGTGTGCACCTTATCGATGTCATGTGACAGACTTCTATGGCTATCAAACTTATTCAATAAAGAAACAATTCAAAATATGAATTGATTAAGTGGTTAAGAGTTCTACCTTCCACAAAAGTTCAATTCTTTAATGGTACATGGCATGGCCAAACAAATAAAGTTAAAGGTAAATTGATAATTAATATACATCATTATAATAGAAACAGAAAAAGAGATTTTTTTTAATTTTTAAAATAAAATTTACATTTAAAGTCACAATCATTGATAATACAAAATATATAAACGACATGAAAAATTCAGAATTAAAAAAATTCATTTGTTTTTTCAAATTCGAACCATGCCACATAAATTAAGACGGAAAAGTAATAAAGTGTTCCTTACAAAATTGTATAACAACTATTTTTATCTTCTAATTTCTAGTACAAACTAGCAATTATACAGTTCATTGACTTTGATAAAATATTCCTAATTTTTCTGCCCTCCAACCCTTATTGATTTTCTCAATAAAATCTTCAATTCTTTTCCTTAATTCATCCTCTTCTTTCTCATCACTTTTCTCAAAATTGTTGTCATTTGTTTCTTTTCTTGTTTTTGCTAAATACATTTTTTTGTCGATTGTAATATTAGCATTTGCTCCTTCTACATTTTCATATTTGAAATTATGAAGACGTTGTTTACCATTACCAGACTCGTGATGTTGAAAATGAGCAGCATCGTCGTATACTTCATTTTTATTGTCTTGATTTACCTCCTTGAGTACTTCTATGATCGATATGTCACTCGATACCGAAAATGTATGCATCTCTTCTGATGTCACATGTGTGTCCATTTTTCTACCATTAGCATTTGCGCCATCTACATTCTCAAACTTGAAATTCGTCTCTTGATGATGAGACTGTTTAAAATAAATAGACTCGTGATATTGAACACAAGAAACATTGTAGTATGCTTCACTTTTGTTGGCTTGATTTATATCCCCGAGTACTTCTATGGTTGATGTGTCATTCATACCTTTGTGAAATTGTGTAGCCTTGGAATTGCCTTGTGCTTGTTTTCTCTTAGACATGTCATGATCAAGAATATTGGTAGTGTCATCTTGTGAACTAGATTGGAAGCCACTTACTAGGAGAATAGCTACTATAAAATTGCAAAAACAAAATATAATGTGAGAATTGGAAGAAGCCATAAAGATCATCTCAAATGTAGAACTCATCATGGTTGAAAAATGATATCTTGCGTTCCAGCCTTGCAAATGGACAATTTTTCAGCAGGGAGTTTTTTATCCCTCAATTGGTGGACAATCCTGATACAAATTTGGATAAGTCAGTCTACTAAATCTCGAAAACCAGAAGACTAAACTAAAAAAAGAATCTTGTAAACAAATAAGTTGCAAGAAGATGTTGATAGAATTTGAGAAGATATTTAGGTGTTCAATTTAAGGAGAATGTGATGTAGTGAGGCTATTTAAAGGTTTGTTTTGATTCTCAAATTGTGTCAAAGAAGCTTTTTAGATATGATATTTATTGTGTTACTTTTGAGAAGCTTCCCTAGGAAGGACTATAAAAATGTGTGATATTTTTTTAACAATAATTTATGTGTGTCTACACTCTATTCATTACCCCTCCATCCCCAATTAAAAAAAGGTATACATGTGGGACATTTTTAAATTATTAATGTGTGTTTACATTATAACTCATCTAACGCGTTTATTTGATTTTTTTTTACTAATAGAGGATGTTCGTTTCATAGATAATTTAATCGGTTAAATATGTGAAAATCGTATGCATGTTTGAATTGATGAGCACTTTGTGAATATGTGCAAAAAAAAAAAAAAATCAAATTATGAATCGAAAGTGTTTAATACAACTATTTTATTATATGTTCATGTATTCAATTGAAATATATGATAGCTCGAGTATTTAAATAAAATTACTTGATAAATTTAAGAGGTTATCAATAGTTAATATCTTAAAAGGTTATTCAACTTTAAAAATTTATTTAATAAAATTATTAAATTTTATTTTAATATCAATAAAATCACTCAATTAAAATTATCATTAAACTTTTTTTACATAACAAGATTATAAATTATTATGCCATAAGAGCTTCCAATTGGAGTGTTCAACACTTCTTCCATGTTAGGATGAGTATATAGTTGACTTTTTTATAACCAAAATCTAGTATACTCATCTTCAAAACCAACACGTGGTAGTGTTATCAAATTCTTTCACTTCTTACTCCTATTCTATCTAACGTGAGATTTATTTAAGATATTCATCTTCAAAAAATTATTAATCTAAAAATCTGTCAATTCTACCTGATCTGTTCCTATCAATCCACCCGTTATCAACGGTGTGACACGATTGACTTAATCTTAATTACCTTACTTATTCAACAAAAAAAAAAAAAAAAAAAATGAGCATTGAGATGAATTCATGTTGTGTGGTATATCATAATTATGTTAGTTAGAGTTCTACCTTCCACAAAAGTTCAATTCTTCAATAAAATGAAAATATTTTAAGTTTGATATCGATCGTATTTTGAGAGTCAATTTTTAAAAAATTTGAGTTTGACTTTGGAAATGAAAATTTGTCAAAATAAAATTTATATATTTAGAAAATAAATAAAATCTATTAAAAAAAGTCATAATAATTGACGATTCAAAATATATAAAAAACATATAAAAAGAAATCACGATTAAAAAAAATCATCTATTTAACAAAATTCGAATTGTGCCACGAAAATTGGGGAGAACAGGTAATAAAGAGGTCCTTACAAAATTGGCAATCACAGTTATATATCATCTATTTATTTTTTCCTTCTAAATTCTAGTACAAGTAACTGAATTATAGACTAATTGACTTTGATAACATATTCCCAATTTTTCTGCCCTCCAACCCTCATTGATCTTCTCAATAAAATCTTCAATTCTTTTCCTTAATTCATCCTCTTCTTTCTCATCACTTTTCTCAAAATTGTTGTCATTTGTCTCTTTTCTTGTTTTTGCTAAATACATTTTTTTGTCAATTGTAATATGAGCACTTACCTCTTCTACATTTTCGTATTTGAAACTCGTGTCTTGATGAATAGATTGTTTATCATTATCAGACTTGTGATGTTGAAAATGAGCAACATCGTCGTGTGCTTCATTTTTGTTGTCTTGATTTACCTCCTTGAGTACTTCCATGGTTGATACGTCACTTGATACCGAAAATGTATGCATTTCTTCTGATGTGACACGTGTGTCTATTTTTCTATCAATGGTATCATTAGCATTCACCTCTTCAACATTTTCACACTTGAAACTCGTCTCTCGATGAAGAGATGGGTTAAAATTAGCAGGCACATGATATTGAGAAAGAGCATCAACATCGTATGCTCCACTTTTGTTGTCTTGATTTATATCCCAAAGTACTTCTATGGTCGATGTGTCACTAGATATCGAAAATATTTGCATTTCTTGTGATGTGACACATGTGTCCATT